ACAACAACTCATGGATCTCGATCCAGCCGAACTTCTATTGCATCTGCTCGCCTTAAGATTGAGGCAGAAATGGCAGCCCTGCAGGCACATCAGAAAATGTTACAACGGAAACATGCATTGCAGAAAGAAGAGGAGGATCTGAGGAGAAGAAAGGAACAAATGGAGCTTGACACTAAAATCGCTGTATCAATGGCCAAGATGAAAGTATATAGCAATGTGAGATCAGAAACAAGTGAAATTAATAATCCTCCTCAAACCAATTCCCCACAGATATAGAATATTGGAACTGAATCTCTTAATCCTAATGTGGAATAATTTTTACCTTCAAGTTCATATGCAGTGTCACAACATCCTCCTGCATTTCCTATACAGTCTCAAGTAGCAGCAGAGAATTCAAAGCATTTTCCAACTCGGACAGTTCAGCAGCAGCAGCAGCAACAAATTTTTCGATCTAAATCAAGGCCAACCCATTCTACATTACCACCTAGTATCATTCATGATGGTAGACAAGAGCGTGGATCACGATTGCAAGATGCACATGGATCATGTTTGCAGGCTGACTTTAAAGAAGGAAATATTCTTAAGCTTATTGACAAGCAAAATGAGATTGCAGCTCTACTGGTCCAACAGAACAACTTGTCTTTGCTTCCACCAAGGGAAGTTCCATTCTTTGATGGAGATCCATTGCGATACCATGACTTTATGCGCACCTTTGATGAGGAGGTGGTGGAAAAGAAATCAAGTGGCTATGCAGATTGCTTGCATTTCCTGGAGCAGTAGACTAGAGGACTAGGGCAACCTAAAGCCTCGTGCACACCGGGACGATTATCGCGCGCGCTTATCGCCGACGTTTTTCGACGCGTCTTTTGTGTTCATACCCAAGCGATTTTCGCAGGCGATGAGCCGAGTGAACGTATAAATTCACTCCCTGACATTAGATGGCGCTTAATGAAAAACAGAAATACCCCGGTACACATCGAATCCTATTTGATCTGCAATTCCTCTCCATAACAACTCCCTCTTATCGAGATTTTTGCAATCGCTGTCGCGTTTGTCATAAAGCCCTTTGTGTTCAGACACCAATGAGACCAGCAGCTCTACATTCATCTTGCCTCGATGCTTCTTCTTCGTCTACTTACTTCCTCTTCGTCGTTAGATATCAATGTGTGCTCGGCAAGACCGTTTTGTGCTTGAGCGCCACCAAGTCGTGTTTTACTGTAACTTCAGCAGCTCCAGGCACGTGAACAAAAGCGCCAATCTCATTGGTCGGCCAGTTTTTAACGCGGCGCGTCAAACCAAAAAAATCGCGTTTTGTGCGTCGGTGTGCACACTCACATTGGCGCCCTTTGTTTAGTCACGAGGCGTTAAACTTCGGCGATAATCGCGCGCGATATTCGTCCTGGTGTGAACAAGCCTTAAGGCTAAGTTCACACTACACGACTTTAAACGTCTGCAGATCGCTGTGCTGTTCAGACTACATGACTTGATTGTCTGTCTTTAAGTCGTTGTGTTGTTCACACTACGTGACTCTATGTAAATGATCTGCAACCGGGGGTTACACACCACACGAGCTGACAACATCTCTGTCACCCAACGACTCTACAAACCACGTTTTGTCACGAAAACACACGTGAGAATTGGAACGGGAATGACGCGAAACAACACGTGAAACAGGAGCACCTCACACACCATTCACACTCCTCCTTCCGCTTCATTCATTCATTCATTCTTTCTTTCGTTCTTGCTGCTTCGCTCCTGATTCAGTTGTTTGTTCGTTCATTCTCTCATTCGGTCTCGTTTCCATTTTTATTATTTTGTCAATTCTTAAAATAATTTTCATTTCGTCTTTAATTCGTTCATTCGTTCCTTTGCTTATTTGCTTATTCTTTTGCAGTTTTCAGTTTCTTTCATGTCTTTCACATCCTTTCAGACTTTCATTTGTTTCTTTCTTTCTTGTTTGTTCTTTTCATTTGTCCTCATGTGTTCATGTGTTCTGTCTTTTCATTAGTTTGTGTCATTTCTTTCTTTTTATTTTTGTTTGTCCTTTCTCTGTTCTTGTAGTTAGTTTTTTTTCTTTTCGTTGTTTCTTTTAATTTGTCCTTTATTTTTCTTTTTAGTTGGTTCTTTCTTTTCCAATCTTTTTGTTTGTTCTTTTTTTTCTTTTCATTTGTTCTTTTAATTTGTCCTTTATTTTTCTTTTTAGTTGGTTCTTTCTTTTCCAATCTTTTTGTTTGTTCTTTTTTTTCTTTTCATTTGTTCTTTTAATTTGTCCTTTATTTTTCTTTTTAGTTGGTTCTTTCTTTTCCAATCTTTTTGTTTGTTCTTTTAGTTTTTTTTTCTTTTCGTTTGCTCTCTTTTTATTCTTTCACTTTGTTCTTTTTCTTTCTTTTCATTTGTTCTTTTTGTTTGTCCTTTTCATTTGTTTTTTTTTCTTTTAGTTGGTTCTTTCTTTTTTTACAATCTCATTGTTTGTTCTTTTTCTTTCATTTTGTTTGTCCTTTCTTTTCATTTGTTCTTTCTTTTTATTCTTTCTGTTTGTTCTTTTTCTTTCTTTTCATTTGTCCTTTTAGTTTGTTCTTTCTTATAGTTTTTTTTCTTTTGTCCTTTTCATTTTTCCTTTCTCTTTGTTTGTTCTTTTCGTTTGTTCTTTCTTTCTTTGTTTCTTTCTTGCTCTCTTTCTTTTCGTTTCTCTCTCTCTCTCGCTCTTATCACACGTGGGTGGTTTTTCCCGATCGTGTTGGCATTTAGAGGTTCTCGTCACACGTGAGCCGCGCGGCTGGTGATCTGCAGTGATTAGTGACGCGCGGCTAATTAAAGCACATGAGCGGATCTTCAGATTGAATCTCTCTCGTGTCGCTCAACAGTCCTCTCATTATTATATCTTCTACAGGCGTATCTTCATTACTCAGAGAGCCCTAAACCTGCACATTCATGAAATAAGACTGATTTCTGGCCTGTTACAGAATGATACTTAAAGTCACACTTTAATGAAAAGATAAACAAACGAAAGGACAAACGAAGAGAAAAAAATGAAAAGAACAAAAAGAAAGAAAAAGAACAAATTAATAGAAAGAAAAAGAAGAGACCGAAAGAATAAACGAAAAAAAAAAAAATAGAACAAAAAGAAAGAAAAAGAACAAATGAAAAGGAAAAACAAAAAGAAAGCAAAAAAAAAAAAAACAAATGAAAAGAATGAACAATCGAAAAAGAAAAACAAACTAAAAGAACAAAAAGAAAGGACAAATGAAAAGAAAGAAAAAAGAACAAACGAAAAGAAAAAATTAAAAGGACAAACGAAAAGAAAGGTTATAATTAACCTTTCTTTTAATATATATTTTATATTAAATAATAATCCACCTGAACGACTCGTGTAATGGCCAGACCTGGTCTAGAGAGAGAGAGTTTACAGCGTTAACATGTTCATCTCAGATGCTCTGGTGTCTTCAGAGGCCTGCGATTGTTTCCTCTATTTCCATTTATTGGCTCAGCAGTGAGAAATACAACAATAAAAGAGATTGATCCCCGAGAGTTCAGTGTCAGTATAATAGCTTTTTCTTTGTCTTCTTTTTTTCAACTTTTTTTTTTAAAGTGTAAAAACTTTTATACTCCATCTTTAATTCTTTTTTTCTTTCTTTCTTTCTTTCTTTTTTTTGTTTCATTTTAAATTTGTATATACGGCACAATGCAAAACATTGGCTTTCTTTTCTGCAGGGATGCATCAAATTGATCAAAAGCTAAAATGAAGACATTTATAATCTTACAAAAAAATAATGCTGTTTTTGTTTTTTTTCTATTTATCAAAGAATCCTAATAAATTCAGCATTGCATCACAGGAATAAATTACATTTTACCATATGTTCACATAGAAAGTTATTATTTTAAACTGTAATGATATTTCAAAATCAGTCAAATTAATGATCAAATTAAAGCAGCAGTGGTGAGCAAGAAGAGAATTCTTTCAAAAAAATAATATTATTATAAAATAATATAATAATAATAATAATAAATTAAAAAATACTATACTATACATTAATATATATATTTAAATAAAATGCAATTGAAATGTTAATTGTTATATTTCTTTGAAAGTTGCTAAGAGCAGATTTAATGTAAATTTGAAGTGGAAGATTTCAATAACAAAATAAATAAATAAATAATTGTTGTTCTGATGTTTGTGCAAATTGGCTAAAAACCTACTTCTTTCAAAAACATAAAATATTGCCTCTTTTTTTTTTTTTTTTTTACTAATACTTTGTAGAATATATATTGCATATGTATTGGAATTGCAAAATATGTATTTTATCATTATTTAAGTATTCCACTACAAATTTAATTTAAATACTTTGCAACTGGAGTTGTTTAAAAATGTGTTTATTTTTTACATTTAAAATTGTATTTCATTTAAATAGTTTTATATAATTGTATTTTAGTTGCTATTATTTATATATTACTTTATGCACACAGTGACACTTTTTTATATGCGTTTTCATTTTTTATTGTTGTAGTTTAAAATAATCACAATACATGCATTTATTTTTATTTTTTTACTCTTTAAAAAATATTGATCTCCCTATTGTCACAATTTCCGATAAGGAAATGTAGCTTGTAAAACCTGCAGTATTTTGGAAACGGCTGAGTCTCGGTTACGCTCCTGAAAAATGTTTGCAGCATGATTGTACTTTTAGTTTAGGTTGGTTCTTCTCCTCAGCGCTGCTTGTTTTCCAGGTGGAGTCTGATCCTTCCAGTCGGGCTGGAAATGCATTTCTGAGCATAATATGGCAAAGCCCTGGAGTTACGCTGCGAGACATTGACATTTCGGAGTGAAGAATAGCGCTTGTTGCCGTTATTATGCCCTCACACACACACACACACACACACACAGTGTTTGTCTTCACTTCAGCTGCAGAATGTTTCTGGTAATTGAACAGCAGCTCCGGCGCGGCGCTGGAAATAGCGGCCCGATGTAATACAGCCGAGTGCAGCTCGCAGGAAAATGACTTTTATTTCCTCCGTCTCTCTCTCTCTCTCGCTGTTGATTGAGAGATGTTGATTTGTGCGCTTTTCACTTCGATCCACGCCATGCAAACTCAATGCAATTAAAAGCCAGTGTCGCAGTTGTCGGTGCTGATGATTTAATAATCTTGCGTCTGCGCACCTGCATGAAGACTTATTTCATCTAATCATCACATCTCGTCTCCATCGCCTTCATTTTCCTCTCAATCGTTGCTTCAGACACGACTCCCATGATGCAGTTCATTTGATTCTCATCTTTTATACAATTGCATCAGTTTGAACCCCAATATTTTTGTAGTTTTTAAGGTGAATTAAGTAGTATTCTGAAGTAGTATTCTGCTTCAAATTTTATTTTAATCTTCTCTTTGCATCTTAATTTTTTTGTGTATTTAAATAATTTACATTTAAGTTTTATTTATTTAAATATATGTATTAATGTATAGTAATTTATTAATTTTATTTTTAAATTATATTATTCTTTTAATTGAAATATAATAATTAATATTTTGTTAAATTTAATATTTTTTTAATTTTTATAGTATTATTCAATTCAAGTTCATTTGTATAGCGCTTTTCACGATGCAAATCGTTGCAAAGCAGCTTTACAGAAAATTAAAGTTTCTTCATTATATTTAGTAATAGCTTATATTATTTTTTAATGTATTAATTTTATATTAATTAATGTGTATTATTAATTGTTCATATTTAATAAATTGTATATAAATTTTCATTTTCATTCATATTACTCTATAATATTATTTAATCTCAAAACTGAAGGCCAAAAATAAAATCACTTTAAAAAAACTGCAAAAAATTAATAAATAAATACATAAATAAAACTGCATATTTAAACTGAATTAAAAGAATATAAAGTAATATAAATGAATAGGAAATTAATACATTTATACATTCAATTAATTAATGCATTTAAAAGAATAATACTATATATATATATATATATATATTTGTGCTGATTAGCCCCGCTCAACATGGAATCTCATTGGTCCAAAATATCTCTCCACATAGTTGTGTACTAAACTTTAAATTCATTCTGACTGGCCGTGATTGTGTCACATATTAGAACTGTTTTACAGTCGTTGACTTTGTTTATTTAGAGTTGTTGGTTCCCGTTTGTCTTCTGCAGTGCACGTGCCGTAAGGACATGGTGAAGATCTCCATGGACGTCTTCGTTCGCTGCCTGCAGCCCGACCGCTACGATCTGTGGAAGCAGGGGAAAGACAACACGCTCCTGGACCACCTCAAACCCACGAGCCTCAGCAGCCCCGAGCTGGAGCACTGGAGGAAAACCAGGGTCACGTACAGAGAGAAACTCCTGCGCAGGTGCCCAAAATTTTCAGTCTTTCATTTTTTTTTTTTTTGCAACAAAAATCTGTTAGTTGGCCTTTATCGTTGATTTTAGAAACTACCCGAGCTGGAGCACTGGAGGAAAACCAGGGTCACGTACAGAGAGAAACTCCTGCGCAGGTGCCCAAAATTTTCAGTCTTTCATTTTTTTTTTTTTGCAACAAAAATCTGTTAGTTGGCCTTTATCGTTGATTTTAGAAACTAATTTTCATCAGTCCCCTGAACAAAAAAAAAAACATGCTTTGCGCAAACTCATTGTTTCGTTTTAACGATGTGTGACTGTGAAAATCTGTGTAAGTACTGAATATATTATGTGCTTTTAATGCTAAACACAATACATTGTTAAATTACTAAAAATAATTTATGGAATGATAATAGTAAAAAGATGCGATAGCGTGATGTAGGAATGTCACGTTATGACGTTCATGGTTCGATATACTAATAGTGCAGCTGTTGTAATTAAAAAAAAAATTGTATTTGTGTTATTTTTATTTTTTTTTACTGGTCAAAATAAGTGCGCTAAATGCATTGTTTTTTTTTCATAAATCTCATAAATTTACCATGGACGTGAAATGACCTTTATTGTTAGGATCTTAATAAACAAAATGTTATCAAGTCGGAAAACTTTTGGGTTGAAAAAAAGTTATTCGTTTGTGGTATTTGTCGTAGAGCTCAGGCGAAGGTTTTTATTTATACGTTTTTTTTTTTACTTTGACCTTCACTGTTCAAAGCGTCATCAATAAAAACTATCAAGCAAAAAACGTTTGGGTTGAAATACATTCGTTATCCATTTGCGTTATTTTTTTGTAGAGTCTAGGTGAAGATTTTATTGACCTTTGAGTTGTTTTTTATTTGATTCGTAATAAAAACTATCAAGTGGAAAAATGTTTTGTTTGAAATAAAAGCTCGTTATCTGTTGCTTTTTTTGGAGTGCTTATGCGAAGTTTTTGATGACCTCTGACCTTTACTGCTCGAATTGTAATTAAGACGATCAAGTGGGAAAAGTTTGATTTGAAATAAAAGTTTATCAGTTTGCTTTGTTTTTTGTAGAGCTTTGGCGAAGTTTTTTTTACCTTTGACCTTTACCGTTCGAATTGTAATAAATAAAAACTATCAAGTGGGAAATTTTGTTTGAAACAAAAGCTCGTTATCTGTTGCTTTTTTTGGAGTACTTACGCAAAGTTTTTGATGACCTCTGACCTTTACTGATCGAATTGTAATAAATAAAAACTATCAAGTGGAAAATTTAGTTTGATATAAAAGTTCACAAGGTTTTTATTGACCTTTGATGTTTACTCTTTGAATCATAATAAATGGGAACTATTAAATGGGAAACGTTTGCGTTGAAATACATTTGTTATCCATTTGCATTGTTTTTTGTAGAGTCTAGGTGAAGATTTTATTGACCTTTGAGCTTTTCTGTTTGATTCGTAATAAAAACTATCAAGTGGGAAATTGTTTTATTTGAAATACAAGTTCACTAGGTTTTTATTGACCTTTGATGTTTACTCTTTGAATCATAATAAATAACTATTAAATGGGAAAAGTTTGCGTTAAAATAAGTTCGTTATTCATTTGCGTTGTTTTTTGCAGTCTAGGTGAAGATTTTATTGACCTTTGACCTTTACTGTTCGACTCATAATAAATGAAATCTATCAAGTTGGAAACGTTTGGGTTGAAATACATTCGTTATCCATTTGCGATGTTTTTTGTAGAGTCTAGGTGAAGATTTTATTGACCTTTGAGCTTTTCTGTTTGATTCGTAATAAAAACTATCAAGTGGAAAAATGTTTTGTTTGAAATAAAAGCTTGTTATCCATTGCTTTTTTTTTTTGGAGTGCTTATGCGAAGTTTTTGGTGACTTTTGACCTTTATCGTTAGAATTGTAATAAATAAAAACTGTCAAGTGGGGAAATTGCTTTGTTTGAAATAAAAGTTCACTAGGTTTTTATTGACTTTTGATGTTTACTCTTTGAATCGTAATAAATAGGAACTATTAAATGGGAAACGTTTGCATTGAAATAAGTTCGTTATCCATTTGCGTTGTTTGTCGTAGGGCTCAGGCGAAGGTGAAACAGTTCCGCCGTCTGAAGCTGGAGGAGGTGAAGGTTCTGGTGGAGGACGGAGTGGAGCTGGACATGACAGAGTACCTGCTCAAGGTGGAGGAGCGCGAGCAGCAGCGGCGGCAGCAGAAGGACGAGCGCATGGCGCGGGAGGCGCTCCTCACGCTGGAGGCGCTGGAGAGGGAGGAGCAGGAGCAGGCGGAAGCAGCACTCCGTGGAGAAGGTGATGCAAGCAAACTTTTAGCATATAGCATCCACCCCATAAACCCTAGCAACCACATAGTAACACCCTAGCAACTGCCTTTGCAGGTGAAGATGGAAAAACAGAATCTCAGGATCCTCCATCGGAAAACGGAGAGGAGAAGAAGAAGAAGAAGAAAAAGAAGAAGCCGAAGCATCTCGACGATCTCTCCTTCCAGCAGGTGTTTGAGCAGTTCGCTTCCAGCGACATTCAGGACCAGAGTAATGGAGACGCTCCCGGCCTGCAGGTGAGCAGCTTCTCTGGTCCCAAAGGGTTTTTAGGTTTTTAGGATTTTAAACGTTGAGGTAAATTATCGTTAAATGTTTTCGCTCTCAGCCGAATCCTTTCATGAAACTGAAGAAGAAAGTTGAGGTGAAGAAGAGCCGAAGACATCCGTTTAGCAAGCCACCCATGCGCTCTCCTCACTCAATAGTCAAACAGGAAGCCTCCAGCGATGAGGGTAAGTACTGCTTTCATGATATCATTAACGATGAACATTAAGCGCAATATACTTTCAGTATAAAATTCCGAATTTTTTTTTTTTTTTACTATTAACATTTTGGACCTCATGCATGAAACGCAAGCAGATTTCTGTGTGAATTGTTCTTCAAAAACATTAATTTTCACTTAAAGTTTCAGTGCAACATTTTACGCTAGAACAGATTTACGAAAGATTTCCATGAATTTGTTTTATGTTTCAAATTTATTTCGTAATGATGTAAAATTGTTCATAAAGCATTCTTGCAGACTCGTTTTTGTCATGTTTCAAAAATTGCATTTTAAATAATGATGAAAAATCAAATTGTTCGGAAGGTTGCTCGTAATTATATATTTTAATTGTTCATTAAGCTATTGTTAATTTACTTGTTTTGCGTGTGCTTTAAATGCAATTTGTAGTAATATCCGTGAAAAATCGAATGTTTGTAAAACCATTTAACCTTTTCACGAACCCACCGAGCGTGAGTTTTTTTCAGCGACCTTATATTAGAATGTATCGCCTTATCGTTTCTATGGTGACAGTAGTCATGCGTGTCACGTGACACACCACAGCTACAATAGCTGTGTATGAGTGATGTATTGCTTTTATTTAATTTTTCCTTTTTATAAAAAAAAATCACAAATGTGTTAACTATATTATGAATTATCTGATATTCCGATTCTCAAATAATTGTAACTAAATATATTTGGTAGTTTAAACGTGTTCTAATCACACCGGTGCGATCGTACGCGTCAAAGGGTTAATGCAGAAATTATCGGCCAAAAATGGCATTTTGGTTTTTGGCCGAAAATATATGGCGTGCCGCACCGCCCAGCAGTGTTCAGAGCGCAGGTTTCACTGTGATGACCTTCTTTAAACTTAAATTTATGAAGCCGTTCTTGCATGCACAGAAACTTGTTTTTCTAATGTTTCAAAAATTACATTTAAAATAACGTACAAAAAAACGAATGATGTCCTTAAGGTTGTTTGTACAACATTGCGTAAAATGTGAGTAAATTGAATCTGGCAATTTAAGTGAAAATAACTTAACGAAAGGTTTACCTGAATTTGTGTTGCTCCTCTTTCATAGATTGCGTTAGCAACAACGGACATAAAATCGTTAAATTGTTCGTAAAGATATTCTTGAATTACATGTTGTTCATTAAGCTATTGTTAATTTACTTGTTTTGCGTGTGCTTTAAATGCAATTTGTAGTAATATCCGTGAAAAATCGAATGTTTGTAAAACCATTTAACCTTTTCACGAACCCACCGAGCGTGAGTTTTTTTCAGCGACCTTATATTAGAATGTATCGCCTTATCGTTTCTATGGTGACAGTAGTCATGCGTGTCACGTGACACACCACAGCTACAATAGCTGTGTATGAGTGATGTAGTGCTTTTATTAAATTTTTCCTTTTTATAAAAAAAAATCACAAATGTGTTAACTATATTATGAATTATCTGATATTCCGATTCTCAAATAATTGTAACTAAATATATTTGGTAGTTTAAACGTGTTCTAATCACACCGGTGCGATCGTACGCGTCAAAGGGTTAATGCAGAAATTATCGGCCAAAAATGGCATTTTGGTTTTTGGCCGAAAATATATGGCGTGCCGCACCGCCCAGCAGTGTTCAGAGCGCAGATTTCACTGTGATGACCTTCTTTAAACTTAAATTTATGAAGCCGTTCTTGCATGCACAGAAACTTGTTTTTCTAATGTTTCAAAAATTACATTTAAAATAACGTACAAAAAAACGAATGATGTCCTTAAGGTTGTTTGTACAACATTGCGTAAAATGTGAGTAAATTGAATCTGGCAATTTAAGTGAAAATAACTTAACGAAAGGTTTACCTGAATTTGTGTTGCTCCTCTTTCATAGATTGCGTTAGCAACAACGGACATAAAATCGTTAAATTGTTCGTAAAGATATTCTTGAATTACATGTGTTGCTTTTTTTTTAAATGCAGTTCATAATAATGTCCATGAAAAAATCAAATGACGTTCGTAAAACCATTCTTTCAGAAATTGTTGAATTTGCGCTAGAATAGTTTTACAGAAAAATTACGCAAATTTTGTTTTGCAAGTTTCATAAATGACAATCCTTAAAATGGTAAAATTATTTGTACGTTTGGTTCTTACGTAAACAATAAAATTGTAAAATCATAAAATCGAATGATGTTCATAGAATTGCTTGTGAAAAACATCTCGACTAAATTTTCACATTTAAATAAGAGATATTTCATTTGCTTGTGTTTCATAAATGAACTTCGTTATGACTTCGTAAAAGTATGTAAATGAATATGCATTTTTTTATTGTTGAAATTATTAGTGAAAAATTTATGCAAGAAAGTTTTTACAAATGATTTACACACAAATTTGGTTTATTCCTGTTTCTCAAATGAGGCTCAATTTATGACAATGCATGTTATTAAGTTACTTAAAATATAATTACGGCATTTCTGTCGTTCTTTGAAAACGGCAATGTTGTATTTTTGTTTTCATGGGGTACTGCGAGAAATATTCCGATTTTGTTGTCGCATGTAGTTCAGGAGAACAGAAGAAACTTGGCACCCTAGATAAATGTCTGATGGCTGAGGAAAAAATTGTTAAAAGTTAGATATGTTTTTACAATATGAATGTTTTTAGAACATTTCATTTTATTTCAGAGTGTTCTGGTTTGATGGTGAGATGTTGTTTTGTGTTTGTTTGTTTGTTGTGAAAGTGTGCAATAAAGTATGAAAGAAAGCAGCCACAAACAATCAGCGCTTTATAAGACGGGGCGGCTGGAAGACGGTTATTGATTTGTCTGTGCTGTGTTATGAACAGACAGACAGCTGTAAACCCGCACCGCCTGCTGTCACTGTAGCGTCTGTAGAGTCACGGCTCAGAGGAGGAGGACAACACTCATACTGAGCCACGTTATATAGCCTTCTATATGATTTATTTACCTCTAAAAAAAATTTGTGTTTTTAGTGTTTATGAGGGAGAATCATATTAAAATTCTTCTTATTTAGCTTCTGCACACTTTAGTTATTGTTGCGTCTGTCTGTCTAGCCATCTAAATATCTGCCAACTGTCACTGTATCTATCTATCTATCTATCTATCTATCCTTCCATCTGTCGCTCTATTGTTCTATCTGTCATTCTGTCGTTTTATCTATCTATCTATCTATCTATCTATCTATTGTTGTTTATCTATCTATCTATCTATCCATCCATCATCCATCCATCCATCATCCTTCCATCTTTCGTTCTGTCGTTCTATCTATCTATCGTTCTATCAGTCTTCATGGTGAAGTTGTGTACAGTGATTGTTGTAGTGTGCAGCTCCTCTGAAGAGTGAATCTTGCGTGTGTCGTCTCTGTGTGTTTCTGTAGAGATGTACTCTGGGCTGCCTGTAGGTGGCGGCGTTCAGCCGGAGGCCAAGAAGTCTGAGGAGAGCGCGCTGTGGCAGAACCGCACGCCAAACTTCCTGGCCGAGAAACAGTTCAACTCTGCGATGGCGACCATTGAACCGCACTGCGCTGTCTGCACGCTCTTCTGTCTGTACACACAGGTAATGCACTGTGCGGCACTATCAAAACACTAAAAGAGCCTCACATAATCAGACTTTTGGCTATCGGCACAAAATCTGGTTCACTTCGACGCTTTTTTTGACCAAAAACTGCCCGATTAGACAGGAAGTTGTTTTATTTCCGTGTTTATTTCTCTTTGGTTTAGCATGTTCTCCTCTCTCATGGGTTTGTGTTTGTGTTTAGCCTCTTAAGGACCCCTTCCACCTCTCGGACACGTCTGGCCTGGTGTCCCGGGTCGGCTGTCGCACCCGTCCGCTGGTTCCAGAGATGTGCTTCAGCGCAGGAGCTGAAAACACAGAGCCGCTGCCGTCGAACTCTCACATCGGTGATGACGGCACCAGCGTCCTGCTGTCCTGCGGGTGCTGCGGCCTTCAGGTCCACGCCAGTGAGTTCACACACCTCACATGCGCTTCTCATGATCCAGTGACGGCTTTGACGTGTCATGCTAAGAGCCGGTTCACACAGAACACTGCGCTGCTGTTTAACCATTTTTTATACAAATGTGCTTGATGGATGCCTTCAACTCATTACTCCATGCCTTACTGCTTTAAGTTCATACTAGAATGTAACTAGAATGACAATGAATTGTTTGTTTATGTTGTTTAATACTTTGTATATATAGTTTTC